TAAGAACAGAGGTAGGATGAAATCGCACTTTCTTCTCCTTTGGTCCAGTCAAAACCAGGCTTTCTCTGTCTACATGCACTAGATTGGGATACATCCCAGCCACTAAGGCAGCTTTAACTACAGCCCAATTTTCAGAATTAGTATTAACATCTCTAATATCGACTCCTCCTCTGCTTCTAACAAAGCCTGAAGAAAGAAGAGGACAAAAACATACTTGTATTTAAGATCTACTTTTTTGCCTCTGAAAAAGGAATCTGGGGGGAAAAAAAGTGAAATAAGCTACAAATTTGTTACAATTTTCCCCACTGCCAACCTTAACAGCACAAAGAAGAAACCGTTACATCCTTCCTGATAACGTGTTTTATACTAACACAGAATTACTTTTTATAACATGAAGACATTTCCTATGGAAATAATTTATTAGAACGTAAAAATCCAAGGAAACATATCTCACACTGAAAGCCAGTGGCATGTGGAACAACCAGGGCACTTTCATTTAGATCAGCTGTTCCCTACCCACACTTCCTCACTCTAGCAACTGCACCATGCCCAGCACCCCTGTGTACTGGTCTGTTTCAAATTAAGGAAGGAAAATTACACCAGTGAATGCTGTTCTTGTTACAATTTGTATACACTTGTACTAGGCATACACTTGACTCCAAAACTATGTAAAAAATTTTTCCAAGCTACTTACCTGAGGCCCTAAGCTGGCCAAGCAACTGGGTTCTCATTCCTATAATGATTTCCATCCTTGCTTGAGACAGGAAGTTCTTTTCACAGAACGCTCTCTCCCAGCCATCACTGCGTGCCTTCTGCCATGCCTGTAAAGAATATTTTTTTACATTTGCCTATTAATTTAATTAGCTAAAATTTAAAAATGCACTTAAAAAAAAAATTACATGTACGTCAATAAAACGAAGGCAAAAATCATTCTGAAAGAAAGATGATGTATCAAACCAGGTATTTTTTTTTCTGGTTAAGCACTAGATTCTCTTCACCCATTCTCTAAATTAACATAAAGATCATTATGTTATTATAAGATTATTATATTATTTTAAAGATCATTATGTTAAGATCATTATTTTAAGTTATCGGTGTCTCAGGATATAAAGTGGCACCTTGTTGGAACATTCAGAATTTAACCAGGTTTGAAAATATAAACAAAAAATCTGTAAGAAGTGTTCCTCAAAAATTTATGAGTCCAATACGCAAGAAAGCCACTAGGCAAAAATAAAGTTTCTTCTCTAAGGACTTAATCACAGTCTATCATTCTACATTCAACTTCATTGGTACATCATTTACTTTGATATGTGATCTATTGTGATTGGTACTCTTTCTGAAGATGAAATAATACCTGGAAAGCCCTGAGAAGCACCATATGGTCACTAAATGTTCCTGCAGTAAAGCGTTTTCTACACAGCATGGCTGCACGCTTTTGAGAGGCCAGTGTAGGTA